TCTTGGTCGAATCCACGTACGACCCAGCGTGCTTTGAATTTTTCGATCGTGCCGTCTGCTTTCGTCTTGATGCGGAAGACCCATTTCCCGGTAAGGATGGTTTTGTTCCGTGCCACGCTTACGGGAACAACCTTCCAAGTGTTGCGTTCCTCTAATGCCTTCAGTTCTCTATCCATGGCTTCACGCCATTTCTCCCTGTGTTTCCCCCCCAGAGCCTGCTGAACCGTTGCAGGCTCCTTAGGAAGCGAGCTGCATGTGTTCCCGTGGACTGCGGTGACGAGGCCGAGGATTTGCAGCCCAGTCTGTGAGTATCGAGGGAGTTCTGGATCCTCGGGATAAGCTGCTTCGTCTCCCGTTTCTGGGTCGGGCATGAAATTTGGCCCTACCCTTTCTGCTTCGTTGGTGTTGACTGTCACAGGTGTTACGTAACCATCGTCGGCGAAACGGTAGAAGATTTCGGCGTTGTTACTGTCGCGAGGATTATCCTCATCCATGGGCACGTCGACGGAGCAGTATGGGAGAGGTCCGGCTTCTTCTGAGGCGTTGTCGACGTTCTGTTCATCCCAGTCTGCTTCGTCCGCTGCTGACGCGAAGGCTCGGTCACCACGAAAACCACTGGTGAGGTCCCGATTCTCGTGCAAGTTGGCGAGGTACGTCTGAAGGGTGAGTCTTTCGTAGAAGATCACGTCACGTGCTGCTACTGTTTCCTTTGTGTGGACGTCGAAGATTTTCCATGCGTTGTAATTTTTCTCGGTGCCGAGGTGTAGTCCCCACTGTGCCCGTTGCGAAAATCTTCCCGCTCGTGCTTCTGGGGGTCTGTACTGTACCATGCACCCGAAAACTCGTAACATTTTCGTGCTGCCCTGCTTCCCTGTCCACAGCAGATGCGGTGATGCGTTGTTCGGGAGTGACGACGACGACAACAAGTTGTGTAGCATGACAGCGTGGTCCATTGCTGCTGGCCACTGGTGGTTGGGTAGCCGCATGCCACGTAATAGTTTGCGCATGCTGTTCTGCAGGGTCCTGTTCAGTCGTTCTGCAACACCTTGCTGCTGATGTGCGTAAGGAAGGGAGAGGAGTTGCTTGATCCCCCTTTCCGCCAAGAACTGCTTGAAGCGGTGAGAGGTGTACTCGCCACCTCCGTCTGACTGGAATTTTTTCAGTTGTGTTCCAGACTCTCTCTCTGCTATCGGTAGCCAGGCGGCGAATGCTGCGAGCGCCATGTCGCGGCTGGGTAGGTTGCGATGCCAGACGTATCGAGTGGCGGCGTCGATGAAGGTGATGGTGTAGTTGTAGTTGACTTGTCCTGGCTCGCGATTGTAGAGGATGTCGCTGTAGACTTTTTCGAGTGGTGCGTACGCTGGAGCGCTCGGGTTGTGATGTGAAGCAAACGGTCGATGAGGTAAGTCAGCTTCGGGACATATAAGGCAAGTCCCTCGTGCCTTCTGGAGTTCTCTGCCATCGGGTAGAAGTAGAGAATCTTTGTCAAGGACTCCTGCTCTTATCGTGTTATTCAAAACCGTGTTACTTGGATGTCCTGTTCGTGCGTGCCAGATCTCTTCAGAGGCACGGTGTCCAGGTGAACGCTGATATGCGTCGGAGTTGGAGTAAAAGCTGGCGACGAGGTTGGCGCTTCGGTGGACTTCACGTTGAGTCGGATTCAGCTGTTTCGCGGGTGTTGGTGGTGCTTCGTCGACTGTGACTGGTGTCGTTGTTCCTGCTGCTGCTGATGTTGTTGCTGCTGCCGATGTTGTTACTGCTGCTGATGTTGTTGCTGCTGCCGATGTTGTTACTGCTGCTGATGTTGTTGCTGCTGCCGATGTTGTTACTGCTGCTGATGTTGTTGCTGCTGCCGATGTTGTTACTGCTGCTGATGTTGTTGCTGCTGCCGATGTTGTTACTGCTGCCGATTGTCGAATTGTTGCTAATGCTCGTGTTCGTTCTGCTTCAGGAATGGTGTGCGAGTACCAGAAGCCTCCTGGGCTGAAGTCGGGGTCGAGATCCGGAGGGTGTGTCCAGTCAGTGAAATTCACGATGGCGTCGCTGTCTGCAGTGCCCAGGTCAGGAACGAAGTCGAGGACGAAGACGTTGTTCTTCAGCACTGCTTTCCCGATGTAGAGACCGCCTCTCCCGTGGTAAAGTTTGAACTCCTGGGTCGTGCTGTCGGCTTCCAGATGAATTCCTTTCGCCATCAACTGGCTAACGCTCAGTAAGTTGTAGCCGAGTCCTTCAGCGATGAGTACCTTAGACATGTGCAGTATGACATTTGTTTCTCTTGACTGAAGCTGTACCACTCCTTGTCTTCGTGTGCGCAGGTTTTGGTTGTTGGCAACCGTGATGATCACTTCCCGTTGGAGTCGATGTTCGCGTTGTACGAAACGCCCGGACGAGCACATGTGTTGCCCGCAGCAACTGTCCAAGAACCAGGTGTCTTGGCCGGACGGTTCACTTTGAGCGATGGCGGCGTACGTTGGATTCGGCTGGAGTAGCTCACGGCGAGGCGTTCTGTTGTCAAGCTCTTCTTCCGGTGAGTAGTGTGGTGGTGATTCGGTTGTACATGAATCGGTTATCTTCGTCATGCAGTTGATTATATTTCTTGCTCCTTGTGCAGGTTGTCCGGGTGAAGTCGTTGAAGCTTGAATAGTGGTCGTCGCACTTGCTTGTGTTGAAGCCATTTGGGAGCTTGAAGGTCGAAGTTGTCGCTGTGGTGCCGTTGATTGCTGACGATTCGGGCAGTGTGTGCGCGGGTGCCCTGAAGTCTTGCAGATGTGGCAGAAGGGAGGTACTATCTTCGGTTGCTGCTGTCGGTTGTTATAATTGCTGTGTCGTCGTTGAGTGTGGAATGCGAACTCTGATACTGTCGTTTTCTTCCTGTGTCGTTCTTCCTGCAGGTCCATATCTTGCTGCTCGGCATGTATTTCGGCGCAGAGTGCAGCTTCAGAGATTCTTCCGTGGGCTCGAAGAATGGCTTTGGTGGCGCGCCACTGAGGACCAAGCCCACCAATGATGACTGTCACGAAGGCGTCTTCAGAGATTGACCCTCCGCATCGAAGCAGCTTGTCGCGCAGTTCGCGACATCGGCTGATATACGCCAGTCCTTTTTCTCCTGGTTTCATTTCGACTGTCGTCAACTGCGCCATTAACCTGCTCTGGTTTACACTGTCTGTTGCTTGATACAGGTTCTTCAGATGGCTGTACGCGAGCTCCGCCGAGTTGCCGAAGGTCCGGTAAGAGCGAATGTTCTGCTGCTGAGTTGGTGTCACATTCCTCAATAGGATTGTATACGCCATCATTGATTGATACGTATACTGCTGCTTTTCATATTGTGTCCCGTTGGCTGGATACTGCAGGGACCCGTCGAAGAAGCCGAGTATCTGCGCGCCCTCCATCATCAGCTCGAATTCAAAGGACCAGGTAAAGAAGTCTTTGCCGTCGAAGGGTCTTGACGTTTGCAGTTTTAAGACGTGTGCAAACTGCGACTGAACTTGAAGTGCGTCCAGTGGTCTTTCTTGTCCAGGTGAAGGTTGCGGGTGGGGCACGAAGCTGATTGACCCGCGCTCGTACGGAGCAAAGGTAGGTTGCTGCTGCTGGTTTCCTCGCGCATATGACGACCCATCAAGACTCATGGGTGTCGCTCCGTTGTTGCTGTTGTGTGTTTGTGCAGGTCCCGACTGCTGGTGTTGTTCGTAGAAGGACATGAAGGAGAAAAATTTCTCCATCATGTTCTGGTCAAAGTCCGAAGGGTGGTTCATGGGGGTCTCGGTTGACGTTCCTCTTGGTCTTGTTGCCGTGCCTTCTTCTGTCTGCAGGCCAGAGGCTGACGGTGGAGTAGGAGTAGTGCCCGAGGAGCCATTAGGGGAGCTCCTTTCCTTGTTTGTTGCCATGTCTTGTAATGATATTGAAAAAAGAGTAGAGTTTCCCTTGTCTGCTCTCATACCATGTTGGGCTGAGATAGCCCCTTAGGATCTTTGCAAGGGATAACTCTAGGTGAAGTAGTTGTAACAGCGGAAGCGTTTAGTGAAGAATTTGAACCGACCTTGCACTGGTGTGTGAGAGCAAAGTTGATTGAATTAAACAAGCAAATACAAGGATTTATATAAGAGTACAGGGAATAGATAACTGTATTGCTGTTGCGGTTCGATATAGCGCGACTCGGGCAACTGCTCTGTAACGAGTCAGTTGTGTGTCCTTAACTGTCGCGCTGTAATTGTCGAGTCAAAGGTCAGCGACCTTTGACTTTCTCGTAACCTCCAGGCGGTTACCCTAACCTCCGAGGTTGACTCGATGCTTCGATTGGGACTGCTTCGCTTGGTACCTTGGATTTTGATACGACAGAAGCGCACTTAGGACTTATTGTTTCCAACACAAGTTACAGTACTTTACTGGGTGGTAGATTGATAGACATTCCCACAATGTTACACACGATAAATAAGCACTTTGGATAATACTTCCAGAATCCTTAGTTATTATCTTCTCATATTTTCTAGTGCTACAGAGCACTCCACTTTTCTTGCCTTAAAATTCCTAGTACCACAATGCATTTTCCAACCACCACTATTTCATAATGTAATGAAATTTCCTATACCGGTATCGATACTGAACACATCATCATCGAGTACAAGACCAACCGTACTTAGCCCATTACTGGTAACGGTGGTTGGCCACCTTCTCCCGCATCACTTTCACCAAACCACGCACTGCTGCACTCCGTGGAGTCAACCTACACTTCAAAAGACCTCGCTTCCAGCATTGCACAAAAGCTAGCTCGGCCGCCCATTACGCAACCCAGGATGGCAGTGCCATCATTGTCAGTTTGTGATCAGCGTTGCCATCATCATCCTTATCAGTTGTTATCACATGTTCTGCCGTTGTGTTGTGCCCACCGCAACTGTCGGTTGTCTAGCACCAGAATCTCCGCGTCTTGCTCTCTGCACAAACACAGCAGCAGCAGCAGCAGCAGCAGCAGCAGCAGCAACAGTGCAAGGGACAGACAAAAAGAGTTAGCAGTGAAGAAGGGATGAGACGACATCAACAGCAAAGCACACACCTCCTGCCACACAGGCTTCAGCAACTTGCCAGGAGACACAATCACAACCACCCCTCTCCTCACCTTCCCCCGCCCCACCCACGGGACTCACAGAGCATGCGTGCGGATGAGCAGGTCCCCCTCTCTGCGCCGAGACACCCCCTCCTGTTTCTCCAAGCGCCGGCTCGGCTATGTCTTGCCTCGCCGCAACACCCGCCCGCTGCCTGCTTCCCCTCTGCTGCACCCTTTGCTTCTTCTGCCACCTCCCCTCACTGCTGGTGTCATTGCCTGCTGCCCTGCCCTCATCCCCCTCTCCTGCCGCGTTTCAGTCCGTGACCGTTGCATGGGAGGTGGCACGAGAACCAATCCAACATCCTGTTTCACACAAACACCCATCTGCTCCAACTGCTCCCTCTGCTCCTGCTGCTCCCTTGCCTGCCTCTCCTGCCTTGTGTCAGTGCGGGACCGTCGCATGGGTGGCGCCGCTGCTGCTTCCATTCCCACATCTTGTTTCACACACGCACCCATCTTCTCCAGCTGCTCCCTCGCCCGCCTCTCCTGCCGTGTGTCTGTGCAGGATCGTCGCATGGGAGGAGGTACAAGCGCTGGTGATATGACAGCATGCTCTCTCGCTCCTTGCATTGCCCCCATTCTCTCTCTCCCTCTCGCATCCGGCTTCGCATTTGGACTCAACCCCAGCAACCCCCTTCCCATGCTCAAGCTCCTTCCCATCCCTCCTCTACCTCCCACACTAGGCCCAATGCTCACCACCCCTCTTTCCAACTCCAAGCACATCTCCACCCCATCCAATCCCATCCCCACCCCACCAGCACCCATCCCAACCGTCTCACAAAGCTCCTCCAGCCTCCTTGACTCCCCCCTTCCGGGCATCTTCACCATCCAAGCACCTCCCTCCTCCCACTCGCCCTCCCTCACTCTTACCTCCCTCACTCCCCTCTCACCAGCCTCTGCCAACAAGTCTTCCTCCTCCTCCTCCTCCCTCCTCCTCCTCTCTCTCTCCAGCTGCTGCTCCAGCTCCCTCAGACTCGCTTCCTCCTCCTGGGCTGCCACGTCAGCCTGGTGACGATAGCTGCTGAAGGGCGGGTGGTAAACCACAGCGCTCGCTTTGAGGCCCACTGCTCCCTTCCCTCCTGCTATCCCTGCTGCCTCTGCTGCTCTCCCTGCTCTTGCTTTCCCAGTCGCAGCAGCAGCAGCAGCAGCAGCAGCACCACCACCACCACCGCTATTGGCAGCAGCAACAGCACCAGCACCATTGGCAGCCGTTGCAGCAACAGCAGCATTAGCACCACCGCCGTTTGCAACAACTGCAGCGGCGGCGGCAGCAGCAGCCGCAGCGGCAGGGCAGCGGGTGCTGAATCGCTTCCCACCAGCCAGCAAGATGGGCTGTGGGTGCAGGAGCGCTGGGGCGGCAGAGTTGGCACGGCTCAGAGGCCTAGGCTTGGCCGAAGCTGAAACCGAAGCTGAGAAAGAGAGGGAGAGCAAGGGGCGAGGGACTACGGACGGGGGTGATGGGAGAGGGACGAGGGACGTGGGAGGGGGTGACCAAGGGAGTGGGGGAGAGGGACGAGAGGTGGATGAGGAGGGCGAGGTGCGGCATTGGGTGCTGTTCTTGCTGTAGTTACTGCTCGATGTGTCCTGGCTGCTGCCAGTGCTGGTGCCACTGCCGGTGCCACTGACACCTCCTCCCCCCCCACTGCTGCCAGTGCTGCTGCTCTTGTGGAAAACCACCGCCGCTCGCCCGCACTCCTCCCGCGCTCCCCTGCTCTGCTTGCCTGCTCGTGCAGTCAAATCAGCCTGCCTCTCACGCTGCCGTTGACTCGCCTCCACCGCAGCAAGCGAAGCCGCAGCGGATTGCTGCCTCCTCAGGCCGGGGGACGGCGGGAGGCGCCGGGAGGGCGGGAGGCGTGGGGAGGGCAGTAGGCGGGACGATGACGCTGCTGATGCGTGCGAGGGGAGAGCCGGTGGTGATATCAAGTGCGAGGTGCGGCTTTCCATGCATGCGTCGTGGTCAGGGCTCTGGGGCGTGGGTGGGGGTCCCAACGGCCGGGACCGACCCCCATGCACTCCGCTGCTCACTCCACCACCTGTGCTCTTCCGTCTGCCGGCCTGCCCGCTGCTGTCGCTCTTATCAGCGCTCTTATCAGCCCCACCGAATTGCCACCATGCCGACACGTGTTGGCTCTTTCCCGCCGCTGCTGACGTCGCCGCCGCGTCATCTCCCTGGCGTGCCCTCGCCCTCGCACCTCCCTGCGCTGCAGTCTCACGGCCCTCTGGCACAGCGGCTGCACCGGCTGCCGTGGGTGTGTTCCAACTCGCACCTGCACCTGCACTCACGCAGTGGTGCTCGCTCGCAGGCACGCCACCTGCAGCTGTGGGTGCTGTGGGTGCTGCTGCGGGTGCTGCAGGTGCTGCGGGTGCTGTGGGCGCAGGCAGGTACTCGCTGGGATCAAACGCGCGGACGCGGTTGCTCCCCCGCACGCCCTCGCACCGCAGCAGCACGGGCCGCCCACCTTCCCTGTGCCTGCTGCTGCTGTCGCTGCCACGGCCGGTGCTGCCGTCACTCCCACTGCCATCGCTACCGTCGCCTCTCCTGCCTGCCTGCGCGTCCGCTGCAGCGCGGGCAACGGCCGCCCTGCTGGCTTGGCGGACAGACGCTTCCACACAGCTTCGCGACCTTCCCCATTCTCCGTTTCTGCCGCGCTCGCCACCGTCTGACTCCCGAGGCACGACACGCCCTTCGTCCACCAGCAACACGCCCTCCGCCTCTTCAAACCAATCCTCGTCCCTCCTCACCACTCCCAACTCCTCCCCATCCACTCCCAAGTCTATCACTAGTCCTTTGTCTCGCCCCTGCCGCTGCAGCGCTCGCTGCTCCTCGCTGCCACTGCTGCCCCCAACGCCCCACGGATCGCCCCCGTCGCCGCTCGTGGCGGCGGACAGCACAGCGCTGCTTTCATCCTCGCTATGGTGCTCCTCGATATCTGCGTCCAGGTCCCACTGGTCAATCCCCGCTGCCTCCCCTTCGCTGCTTGTATCGCGCCAGCTGTTGTTTCCTTCGTCACAGCCCCCGTACGTATTACAAGCGCGCCCGCTTGCTCCTAACGAGTCGTCATCATCAGCGACTCGCAACCCCCAACTTCCGCCGCCGCCGCTACCGTTCTCCCGTTCGTGCTGCTCCCCTTCCGAGCCGCCACTTTCCCTTTCCTCTCTCGTAACCTCTTTCTCCTTTCGCCCCATTTCCTTCGGACCCGATTCTCGCCTTAATTTCTCCGTCAGATATTTCTCCATCTCCCTTCGCCGTTCGTCCACGTCAGCAATGTCGCTCTGCGTGTCACTTCGATCCAGCGACCGCTGCTGCCAACCCTGCGCCTTTCCCATTGCTCCCTCCGCCACTCCTTCCGCGCCGTCCGTCCCCCACAACCCAGCACTGCCACTCTCCGCGGCGCCTGCTGTTCTCGCGCGCGGCAATCCGCGGCCCCCATAATCCCCGCCGCCTCCCCCCGCGGGCGCGCGCACCAGCTCGTACACGAACACGCTCCGCTTGCCCTTCCCCCGCCGCTGCTTCTTGCGGAACACACCGCCTCGGGCATGCCCCGCATCCGCGGGCGGCCTTCCCCCTTCCACGATTAGCACGTCGCGCACGCTCCGCTCGCCGCCACCGCCTTCACTGCGCGCCGATGGGTACAGCGCCGTCCGTACCGACGCTGCTTTATCCCCGTCGCCGCCCAACGCGCCGCTGCTGCTGCCGCCGCCGCGGATGTCAATCGCCAACGCCGGCGCTGCGTGGCGTCCGGTTGCTGTCACCGCCAAATTCGCATCCTCAGACGGCTTGCCGGTCCGGCTTTCGGCTGCCGCGCCTCCCGCTCCTTCCGCTTCTCCCGCTCCGCCCGTTCCTGCCACTCCCGTCGCGGTGTCCCACAACCAACACGCAATCCCCATCGGCGCTGTGCGCGGCCTCGATTTCCCACGGCTGCGCGACGGGAGCGGCTTATCCGCGAGGTTGCGGTGTGGCGGCGACACGTGGTGACCATGTAATTCGGAATTCGCTAACGCGTTGTTGTTTGAGTCGAAAGCTCCGTTACAATGTAACGGCTCCCCAGCGGGGAATGGGATGACCAGCGATGGTCGTGCGAGCAGGTGACTCTTGGCGGAGGCGCCGACTGTTTCAACAGCTACCTCGGTCTTCTTCGCGCCTTTCATATTTGCCCGCGCCGCCGCTGGTCGCGCTGACGCCGCGTTCGCGCTGTCGCCGCCACCGCCGCCGGCGCCATCACATTTGCGCTTCGAGTTGTTGCGGGTTACGTTTCCCGAGGGAGCAGGGCGGCACTCCGTACCGTTGGAGAAGTACCGCCGAGCGACGTCGTTGCTAGTAAGCGATGGCACTATAACGGGGGGAACGAAGACGGAGGCCGGGGGGAGTTCGCGATGTGGGCGTACGTCGTTCCGCCCCGGCGCCTGAGCACATTCCGATGCCCAGAACGACAATTCGTGCGACGCGTTTTCACTCCGACCGTCGCACGAGGCGTCATTGGCTCGTCGCTCGATGTGTCGCACGTGGCGTCGCAGGGAGTCGTTACGGGAACCGCAGTCGCTGCTGGGCGAGCAGCAGACGGGGAAGGGTGCGACGCACGCGGCTGCGGGGCTCGTGGGCGGCCGCGTGAAGACCGGCAGGGACGAGAGGGAGGGGATTTTCGGAACGGTCCGCGTAGTTGGTGTTGCTGGCGAAAATCTTTCGTCGAAAGTTACATCGTCGCCGAAATCACTAAAATCGCCGGCGAAGTTGTGCGGAGAGAAGCAGGCCAGCGGCGAAAACATGGTGGCGCCGGTTTCGCGCAAACTTCGCGATTGGCCGTGCTGATTTGACGTTTAGAAGCGAAACGAGGAGTCTGTCCGTCAGGGACGCGAGTGTCACACTAGCGCAGCAGGCGTCAAAGCACTCTGAGGGTACACTTCAGAGATGACGCTTCCACTAACAGCCTTATCTCACTCGCCAGCGGACGATGGTCCCAAGTGTAAGCACCGAATGAAACGACAGCTAAGAGTGGACGGGCCGCCGCAGTGACTTGCGGTGATAGTGGTGGGTGGGTGTCCTTGTCTGCGTATCGGCCCCGCCTCCGCTTCCGCCTTGGTTCCACCTTGGCCTCGTCGTGACAACGATAAGTACCCCTTGTGGGGTCTCTATGATTGCTCGTCCTAACTCGCCGTGAGTCGTGACCGCTCATCGCGTACGTTCGCGAGTCGTATTGACGGGTAGAGTTGCGAACTCCGTATGTTTCCCACAACAGTCGTCAGCCGGGTGGCACTCGCGGCCCGTGCAGATAGTTCCAAAAAAAAGGACACGGCAATGAGAAAAATATTGTTGGGATGAGCCAATGGGATTAAGGACCACGCGACGCGGATCAGGGCTTCAGCCTTCTAGAGTTGATGTTCGAGTTGTCTGTCTCGCTGGGACGAGTGAGGAGCGTCAGACAAATCATTGTGGAATGGACGCGGATTGATTCCATATCTGACGCTTATGGCAAAGGGAAGAAAGGGTTTTGGGTGGTTGGGAGTTGCGCACGGTTTGACACTATATACAGCGGCAGGTTTCGGTGCAGTGGCAAAATTCTGTTTGCGGTTGGCTGTGGGGGGAGAGCGGGACCAGCAGGGAGAGGTGCTGATCAGGGGTCTTGATTCGTTTTGTGCCACCCTGTCAAATCAAAGTTCCAGGTCGAAGTCACACTGCCACTGCAGTGTTGCTGCCGCGTCGTACCCTAGAAATGGCAGGGTGTTGAAATATTTCTGGTCCGGTATGGCAGGGTGAAAATTTGAACTAGGCTGCAGCGGTCCAATCTGAGTGAGTGTCTCCGTGGAAAGGACTGAGCCAGCTTTCGAGCACATCCGACGCTTGTTTTGGTGCGGTGTGAGTGTCTCTGTGAAAAGGACTAAGCCAGTTTTCGAGCACATCCGACGCTTGTTTTGGTGTATGTGTGAGTGTCTCCCGGCAAGGACTTAGCCAGTTAAATGACTGAGGGACAAGAGTGCTGCCACTACCGAACTCGGCCAAGGCAGTGTGCTACAAGAACGAACAACTGCAATACAACGCTCAAAATTTACGAGGCCTGATCGTGACAGGGTGGTAAAACCATTGAAACCTGTATTTACAGGGTGGTTTTTAAACACTACTCTAAAAAACAGGCTAATCAGGGTAAAATGTCCTGAAATCCTGAGGCCTGGTGCTGATGCAAGAGAGCTCAATTGAACTTCTGGGGCAATTTTCAGGGGGTGCATGGGTGCAGCTGTTTCCAAGTTACAGGCGCCTTTTTCATCAACTCGGTGAATGTTCCCCCTCCCTCAACGGCAAGGTTTTCCTGGCCTGAGTTGTTTGAAAAAATTCAAACCGCCCCGCATCGGATCCTCGGAAGGCGTGTGAACTGTACGTAGATTTTCCAGCTGAAATATTTCCACCTTGTGCATGGGGTGGGTGGGGGGCCTGGTGCCCCCACAAATTTCTCGTGGTGGACACAAGACCATCGCACGTCAGCGTTGGATTGACAGGCAGTCCCTCCCTCCCTTTCCTCCGGCCCATCACCCTCTGCCAAAACTGTACCAGCAATTAGCGCAAGGAACGGGGAGTGCCCACCAGCCAGACTGGAACGCGCAGTCCTCGATCGACTGTGAGGGTCGCAGTGGCAGCATCGTAGATTTCACTTGGCTTGGCTGGCACACGGCAAGGGCGGTGCCAAGCGTTAGGGCGTGGAACTGGTCGTGGAAATCAGCGTGGTACCCTTCGTAAGGTTTCCGTTCATTTCGTGAACATTTTTACAGGTTCACGTCACTGGTCACCATGATTACCACGATGCTGCAACCGGGTCTCGGAACACTAGCACAAAACCGCCACTGGGCTGTGCTTCCTTCCCACCTGAAGGCCCAACCAACTGGCCTGCGCATCCCCGCAAGGACACAAGGATGCCAGTCGCAAATTCATGAGTCGCAAAAGAATCGGTGCGACTGGGCTGTTGGCGATGATTGCAAAAAGTTTAAGCTTCGAAAACAGATCCTCTCATGCGTAACCTGATTTTGCTGAAGCCGCAAATCAGCAACCGGTTCCACGCCCTTGTTCCGGTTCAGCAGAAGTGCATCATTCGTTATGGAATAGTTTTAAAGTGTGGAAATTCCAAGTGCAGCCTTGTAATACAAGATATCAGTTAGATAAAGGATTATGCTTAAAGGATCAATCTCTTCGAACTACAAAATTACACATGAGAAATTACAGGATAACGAAAGCAATCTCTTCAAATCAGTATCACATAAGTCATGAATAGATTACCAGGTGATGACGGCATGTTCAACATGCTTGTAAAAAACACCAGACATAACTTCATTCGATATAACTAGACAGTCATGTGAAGCAACCCGTTACCTGGGTCTTTAATAATTTTGTTCACGTTGAGAAGACACACCCATAATTAATCACTAATGTTAAGACTACAGGGTGGTATATTTGGAGAGTTACGGAATTTCATGTTTAATACGCACGTGTACTGCCATAATGTCCATATTTAATGCCCTTTGGTTGACTTTAATTGTAGCCAACTCCATAGGCCATCACCTATCGAGCCAACACGCATGAACGAGCTCACATTAGAATGTGAGCCATGAGACCTTTCAGCCTCCCTCCCACTGCTCTCAAACGACGCAGCAGAAACATCCCTTGAAGATATACCGTCGTTGCCTTCACTCTCTTCCTTCGCAACACTCTCCCACTCGTCCTCCCTGTCGGGACAGTGCTTGGCAATGAGGGCGCTGAGGCGGCATGCCACATCCTTCATGGTGGGTCGCCGTGTGCCAGGAGACTTGATGCAGTCCAAAGCCAGGTCTGCAAAGTCGACTATTGCCTCCTCACTAACCGCTGGCATCTTGCTGTCCCTCAGCTCCTCCAGATCATACGCCTCCACCCTCTTCATTGCCTGGAGGGTGCAACACAATGAAGCATAAGAATGGGAGAACAGGTGCAAAGGAACAAAATATGCAGGAAAGCTTAGTGGGAATATACGCGTATAGTGTATATATGCGTATCGTATGTACGGTAACGTATATACGCTAAATGCTTAAATGTCGAGTTGGTAATACGCTTTTTCGGGCAGGTAAAAAACTATCCCGAGCAGGGTGAAAAAAAAACGTCGTGCTCAACACTGGGAAGGTGTTCCCTCTCACTAAGACTTTCGTAGCAATTCCCTAAGTCTGAACGGCGGTTGGGGTGGGATGTGGAGTAGACATTAGAAGAAGAAGTCGGTAGGAATCGGAAGGAGCTCTGCTGTTAGGGCGTATTCCTATCCTCCTATCAAGAAAACCTCCTATCAAGCTCTCACGGGAAAATTCCCTAAACCCCAAATCTCTCGCTACTTTTACCAGGCAAAAGTTACAATCTTGATAGGAGGTTTCTTGATAGGAGGCCGTAGGAATACGCCCTTAGGAAGCGGAAATGTCAGCTAGAAATGACGACTATGTCAGAATTAGAAGGAAGAAAGAGGATTGAACTAGCAAGAATGAGGATACAAATAGCAAACCCTAGAAGGGTTGTACTCGCTATAGAGCACCCCACTACAGGCTAGAACAATAAGATAATATTCTGACACACCCCCATAGCCAAAGTGGGGTGTAATCAGCAGAGCAGGCAAAGCAAAACAAGCTCAGGGTGGATCACAATGTCACCACACATTCTGAGCACAAGTTCAAGAAGAAATAGTTTAGAGTTTACAATTATAAGCAAAGCTAGTGGTAGTCACAACGGGCAAGTGAGGAGGAGGAGGGAGAGTGAGGGGAGAGGAGACAGGAGGCGACGGCTGAAGCTGCAGACACACGGGCAACAGGAGGCAGACTGGCACAGCGGCTACCGGACAGCGCCCGGACTACAGGGGTAACAGGCCCCGCGGCTCAAATAGCGGCGGACGGGCAACGGACCCACGGGCGGCTGGCACAGCTGGCTACGACTGGGCTACCGGGACAGCGCCCCGGACTACAGGTGCTGCTGACGACAAACTGGCAACCTCCGCTCATCCTCCCGCACACAGTCCCACCCCCCTGATACACACCCACTGCTACACCACTAGCTCGACTCCCACACACCCCCCTAAAACCCTAAACCCCAGTCTCCCACACAACCACCCCCCTCAGCGACAGCTGCAGCAGTGGGAGACGAAGGAGGAGGAGGAGAAAGGGAGGAAGGCACACCGGCCACCCCCATACCCGCCACCCCACAGCTCGCCCCTCAGGTCGCCACGACGGGCGACGGGAAATGGGGGAAGGGGAGAAAGGGGGGGGGCCCACCACGGACCTGAGGGGAGGGCGGGGCCGCGACAAGGGGCGGGGCCGCGACGAGCGGGGCGGGGCCGCGACGGTCGGGGTGGGACCGCGACGTAGGGTGGGGCCGCGACAGGTCGGGGCCGCGAAGGTAGGGCGGGGCCGCATAGGGTCCGGGGCGGGGCCGCGACGTAGGGCGGGGCCGCTTCGAGGGGCGGGGCCGCGACGCAGGGGCGGGGCCGCGACGAGGGGCGGGGCCGCGACGGTCGAGGCGGGGCCGCGACGGAGGGGCGGGACCGCGACAGGTAGGGCGGGGCCAAGCCGGGCAGGCGCACGGGCGGCGACGGGCCGGGGCGGGGCCGCGACGTAGAGGAGAAGCCCGCCGCGCGCCCCGGGGCGCACAGCGGGCAATGAACCGCCGCGCGCCTCGGGGCGCACGGCGGGCAGAAAACCGCCGCGCGCCTCGGGGCGCACGGCGGGATGAAAAAGTAGCAGCGGAAGCAAGGTGGGGACACACGCACAGGATCGATCCAAGGGGATCGACCTGCTCTGATAGCATGTCAGAATTAGAAGGAAGAAAGAGGATTGAACTAGCAAGAATGAGGATACAAATAGCAAACCCTAGAAGGGTTGTACTCGCTATAGAGCACCCCACTACAGGCTAGAACAATAAGATAATATTCTGACAGACTGGAATTTTGCTGGCTGGTAAGTAGCGTGAGTGGGGTTTGGTGGGGGACGTTTTTGACAGGTTGGAGTTCGTAGATAAGATGGGTTTCAATGCAGTACTAACCTAATGTTCAAATTTGAACTGCCTGCAAACTCCGAAGGTACATTCCCGCTTCCCTAGACCGTCGAATTGCATTTCGACTTCGGCGAAATGCTCAGCAGAAAAATCCGCATCATTCCGTATACAAGCGATTTTTTTCCTGGGCAGCCCGAAAAACTTTCCGATAGCGTATAGCGTACTAGCTAGCGTATTGCGTTTTGCGTACACAATACTAGCGTATATACGCTATACGCTTTAGGGTTTGAGCGTATATTCCCAGTAAGCAGGAAAGGTGGTGGAAGGGAGCATAGCAACAAGAAAGGGAGTGAAGGTCAGTATAAAAGGAATCAAGGATAACTGTACGAGCATAGAATAAACTTGAGAGTAAATGGGCATGAACATTGTCTCATAACCATTGATTTGTTTCTTAGCAGACTCAACAGTTTGTTATCATACCCATTTGCTTATATGCGTTTTTGCGTCGACTCGTGGCGGCTTTCCACTCAGCAACTCAAGAAGCACGATTCCAAAGCTGCAAGCAACCATGCATTGGAAGTAGTGAAATGAACTTGGAAAACAATGGGGAGAGGTACCGGGTACAAGTTTCCAACATACCCTGGATGATTCATAACCACAGGTGCACAAGTTCATGGCGTTGTGCAAATGAACGAGCACACATGCTCACCTGAACACGTCACTCTTGGCTGTGATGACGTTGGTGCGGTTGTAATCCGGATCCACATATCCCGGAGTGCCGGCCATCGCGTGGCATCAGCATCGCCGTGAGTGAGGCGTTTGAGCAGCCCAAAGTCAGCCACCTTGGCTTGCATGTCGGCAGACACAAGGATGTTGGCTGGCTTGATGTCGCGATGAACGATGGGTGTGTCAAACCCATGCAGGTACGCCAGGCCATCTGCTGCTCCCTGTGCTAGGCGCAACCTCTGGCGCAGCGACAGCGGACCTAGGTCATGAAATATGTACACCAAGAAGCGAGTGAAAAATGAAAAATAAGTTATGAATGATGGCTTCTTTAGTGATGGTGTCATGTCTTGTGCAAAACAGAAAGAGAAAAAGAAAAAATCGCATGGCATCCATTTCGTCATTGTGGCTGTGCAACTCACGCTTGGTTGCATGGATATGGTACTCTAGGTCCCGGTTGCCTATAAACTCGTACACCAGAATCTGCTCCTGCTTGCCCGTCTCCACGTTCTGGTCCAGGCAGAAGCCCAGCAGGCGCACGAGGTGTGTGTGGTGGAGAGACGCCATGGTTCGCACCTATAGTGAGAAGACAATACAGGCAGACGCACATGGCCGAGGAAAGGTGGGCATTGAATATGCAGGTCGGCAGTTGCCACACGGACGTGGAACACAATGCAGGGGGATGCGTATGGGCTACAAGTCAGCATCTTGAAAAACAGAATGCGCGCACTGAATTTGCAGGTCGGCGTTCTGAAAACAATGGAGTATTGTTAGAACCCCACACACTACATTACTGGGATAAAATGGCTTGTTGAGTAGCGAGTGCACCCATAATTTCCAAGGCAAGCGTGCATGAAACTCTTTCTTGGGATCAATCGGGGATTTTCAGTGCAGGTCTACTGACACCCCTTTGTCATTGGGATGCCCTAGAACACGGTATAGCAGCAGAGACACATGAAAGCCAGCATGTGAGCACACGATTCGAATCCAAGACCTTCGCTCTGATACCATGTCAGAATTTCAGCCACTACAACACTGACATAAAATGGGTGAGTGAACCCTTAACCTCTAGACAAACGTGTCTGTAACCGTTCCTTAGGATCAATCGGAAAATCCCCAGTGCATGTCTTATGACAAGTACCAATTTTGTGCCTCACCTCCGTTTCAAAGTCGTTGGTCATGATGGTGGAGCGCTTGATGGCCCACAGCTGGCCATGTGACGAGCGGCCTTTGTAGACAATGCCGAAGCCTCCCTTGCCCAGCACATTGTCGTCCGACCAGTTGTTGGTGGCCTTAAGCATCTGCTGCAGCGAGAACTGCTCACACACATCCAACCCCTCCCACTTCTCTGCGCACACATGAGGACAAGGGGGATGAACGACCAGGGGAGTAAATGAGTAGACAGAATATGGGAGCAACGAAGAGGCAGAGCTGAGCGGCAGTAATAATGGCAGAGCTGGGGAGGGAAGGAGGCCAGAAAACAGGCACAGCAATAGGGGAGACGGAAATGAATGGAACTGAAGAAGGGATGAAGAGCTCACTTGGTCCACGGGGCCACAGCAGCCATGTGACCACAAAAGCCAGCAAAATGAAGCCAGCAAAGCAGCCTAGAGTAATGCCCACTATGGCACCCGTGGATAGCGACGACACTGCCAACGAATGGGAGGTTACGGGAATCGGGGCGGTGGTTAGACGAAGGTGTCGAGGTGAGGCAAGGAGTGAAAAGGTGTGTAGGAGAAAAGCCAGCTGACATGGGTATTGGTGCAGCGCGTAAGAATGGGCAATGCTGCCAGGCTGAGGCGGTGCTGAAAGCCTAGGCAGTTTCATAAGAATGAAGCAAAGGTTACCAGTGGTGGTGGTGGAGTTGACAATGGCGCATGTGGAGCCGTTGCCTGAGTTGAGAGTGGAGTAGCCGGCATCGCAGAGGCACGTGAAGTTGGAGGGGGAGGCTGTCCGCGATGCTGCTGCAGAGGTAGGGTCAGCCGGCACACACACCCCATGGCCGTCACACGGGCCGTTGTCCGTGATGCTGCAGAACGCCTGGCAGGCTGCCGTGCTGCGCTGGGTGGCGTTGACCGAGCACTCCGTGCTTGGGCTGAGCGTCAGGCAGTTGCCCGACAGACTCACCCTCAGCTTCAGCCCGGCCCCTGTCACGGCGTAGTCTTGTAGTAGGTAAGAGGGTAGTGCATTGTTGCAATTGCCGTCAGAGACTCGCCAGTTGGAGGTGGCTTTGAGGCCGAGGCTGTTGGGCTCGCTGACCTCGGTGGGGCAGACCTTGCAGCCAGCAGCAAAGAGCACGGCTTCCCCAAAGAAGAAGTTGCGAGCCAGGTTGACGAGGGCGCCGCTGTTCGCCACCATGCCCTTGAAATCGCGGTTGATGCGTCCATACAGGCTGTTGCCGCTCACATCACTGTGGGTGGGAGGCACGGAAGAGGGGGAGGGGGGGGGCGGCACATGGAGGTTAGATTGAAGCGCCGCTGTTCGCCACCATGTGCTTGAAGTTGCGGTTGATGCGCCCATACAGGCTGTTGCCGCTCACATCACTATGGGTGGGAGGCACGGAAGAGGGGGAGGGGGGGGGCGGCACATGGAGGTTAGATTAAAGCACCGCTGTTCGCCACCATGTGCTTGAAGTTGCGGTTGATGCGCCCATACAGGCTGTTGCCGCTCACATCACTGTGGGAAGAAGTGGGGGGGGCGGCACATGGAGGTTAGATTGGTGCGCCGCTGATCGCCACCATGCCCTTGAAGCCGCGGTTGATGCGCCCATACAGGCTGTTGCTGCTCACATCACTGTGGGAAGAAGTGGGGGGGGCGGCACATGGAGGTTAGATTGGTGCGCCGCTGATCGCCACCATGCCCTTGAAGTCGCGGTTGATGCGCCCATACCATACAGGCTGTTGCCGCTCACATCACTGTGGGAAGCACAAGGGCCACAGAAAGAGCCGAACATGCTGTTGAGTGTTTGGTTGGAGGATTCCCACCATATGGTCTGCAACACCAAGCAAGCAAGCACATGCATGTCATCACTCGATGCATTTCATCACTCGATGCATGTCATCACTCGATGCATGTCATCACTCGATGCATTTCATCACTCGATGCATGTCATCACTCGATGCATGTCATCACTCGATGCATGTCATCACTCGATGCATGTCATCACTCGATGCATGTCATCACTCGATGCATGTCATCACTCGATGCATTTCATCACTCGATGCATTTCATCACTCGATGCATGTCATCACTCGATGCATGTCATCACTCGATGCATTTCATCACTCGATGAATTTCATCACTCGATGCATGTCATCACTCGATGCATGTCATCACTTGATGCATGTCATCACTCGATGCATGTCATCACTCGATGCATGTCATCACTCGATGCATGTCATCACTCGATGCATTTCATCACTCGATGCATGTCATCACTCGATGCATGTCATCACTCGATGCATGTCATCACTCGATGCATGTCATCACTCGATGCATTTCATCACTCGATGCATGTCATCACTCGATGCATTTCATCACTCGATGCATTTCATCACTCGATGCATTTCATCACTCGATGCATTTCATCACTCGATGCATTTCATCACTCGATGCAGTGCCCATGTTGGGGGTGCGAGCTGTTGCATCTACGCATGAGAGAATAGTGTATGCATGGTCGGCTCACATTTGGTTGATGCACTTGTCAAAGAGGCAGTCTGGCAGGGGTCCATAGAGGTAGTTGTTGCTGATCATGCTGCCAGCACAGCAGCACAACACATGCTGCACCATGAGTCATACACCCATACAAAATGGCAACACACCATGGAGAGATATTATGCTGATAATTTCTAGCTTTATGTGTTCAGCAAATATACAAAACTGCTTGCAATAAGCGACAGCCTGTCTATCCTAGCTGGGAAATAATAATAATAATAAAAAAAACAAACAGTAATGCCCCACAGCCAAGCGCCACGACCACTCACAAGCGCCACAGCAGGGGCAGCGAGCACAGGCCAGTTGGCAGAGAGCCTTCAACCTTGTTGTTGTCCAACCAGCTGCGGGGGCAGAGCATTGGCAGGAGGCAGGAGGCATGAAGAGCAAATGGTAGGCAGAGCAGTGGCAGGCAAAGAATTCGCAGGAAAATCAATGGCAATGAGCACAGGCCAGTCGGCAGAGAGCCTTCAATCTTGTTGTTGTCCAACCAGCTGCGGGGGCAGAGCAGTGGCAGGAGGCAGGTGTCGGAGTTACCGCTATGCTCTTCTCTGCCTTGATTCTCCTGCTCTGCCTCTCCTTCGTTCCTTCTGCTGCCTCAGCCACTCTCATTATGAAAGAGTGGTAACTCTCACCTCAAAGGTCCTCTCTGAGTGGTGTGCCACCTGTAGGCAAATCTGAGGTAACAACTGTCCACTATACGAAAGGATAACAAACAGAAAGCATTGTGTGTGTGTGTGAGAGTGAACTTACCTGTCCCTGGCTCGAGCCGTGCATTTCTCAATGTGCGGCTTGAGCCTGGGTTGGGTTTGTTCCCATTGGTCGCGAGGATTTCACCCCCTGGTGTTCTCCTACCAACTTCGCGTCAATTTCCCAGCCTCCCACCTACCCATCCTTGAGCCTGCATACAACAAATACAACACATTACTACACCCTTTCTACACCACAATCATACTGGCACCTTATATGCACAAACGTACATATTCGGTGACAGCTGTCGGAGTTACCGCTATGCTCTTCTCTGCCTTGATTCTCCTGCTCTGCCTCTCCTTCGTTCCTTCTGCTGCCTCAGCCACTCTCTGCCCCCTCCTGTGCCCGTGCTCGCGCAGCTTGAGCGCGGGTCACAGGACCGTTGCGCTGAGGCCCGCTGCCTCTGATCACGGCAGTGTTCGTTTGATGCTCCTTCACTTGCGCCCCCGTGTCATTCTCCAGGACCAGCACCCCTGAAGGGCGCACCTCCTTGACCTTCCAGCGGACCGTACCCAGCCCCACATCCAGGGTGTCTTGCTTTGCCCTCTTGAGGTACACCTCCTGCCCTTCACAGACGCCTCTTGCCACTCGCCCCTCTCCCTTGCGCTGCCTCTGTTCGTACCTCCTTGCGTCCCTCAGCTGTGCAGTGTGCAGGTTCTCCAGTGCCGCTGGCAGCATGTAGCGCATGTAGCGCGCTCTCACCTCGGACAGGGCCACCCAGTTCTTGATCGTGCCTGCTGTCACCGTGTCTGTCAGTACCCGTGGTGCCTCCACTGGCAGGATTGGCTCTCTTCCGTAAAGGAGGCTGTACGGGGAGTGGTCCTTGAGTGCTGCCTGCTTCCCGAACCTGTACCCTGCGGCTATCCAATCCAGCTCCTCATCCCAGTCCCTCTTCCTCTGCTCCCCATAGGCCCGCAGCCCCCGCTTGAAGGTCTGCACCGCTCGCTCGGTCAGCCCGTCGCTTTGTGGGTGGTAGCGGGAGGTTTTTCTGTGCGCTATGCCGGATTCCTTCAGCAGCTTCTCAAATTCCCCCAGAAACTCCGTCCCCTGATCCGTGAGTACCTCCCCGCACGCTCCAAAGCGACACACCACCTGCGCCTTGAAGGCTGCTGCTATGTGCCTCGCGCTCTTGCTGGGGATGGCTTTCACCTCCAACCACTTGCTCGCATGCTCCACCATGAACACGATGTACCGATTTCCGCTCCTGCTGAGCGGCAGCTCTCCCGCGAGGTCCAAGGACCATCGGAATCCCAACCCGCAAATCGGCAGTGAATGCAGTTCTGCTTTGGCCTGCGTTAAGTTTGCCTTGCTCCTCTGACACGCCTCACACCCCTCCACCCACTCTTTCACTTGCTTGCGCATCCCTTCCCACCACCAGCCTGTCTTCAGCAGGTGTACAGTCCTCTCGTGCCCGAAGTGTCCCAGCTTCGTGTGCACCTCCTTGATCACTGCTTCACGGTCCGTGGGTGCAGGCACTAGCTTCCACCCGTCCTCTGTCTTGATCTGCAGCTGCCGCTGATACCACCTGTAGTGGTGCCCCCGTGCCCGCACTCTTTCTGACACTGTCTCGTCTTCCTCTGTTTCTCCTTTCACCCACCGCATTGCCTTCTCGTCCTGCCAGATGTCGGCTGGTCCCTTGCTCCCCTTGGCTCCGACCTCTTCCGCTTCTCTCGCCAGCATGATCAAGGTGTGTGCTGGCTCCAGCTCCGTCCCTTCCGTCCCCTGTGTTCTCTGTCCTGATTCCAGCGGTGGTGGGTTGCGAGAGAGACCGTCGACGTGCTGCAGCGTCTTCCCCGGCCTATGCCTGATCTGGAAATCATATTCTTGCAGCTTCACTGCCCACCTTGCGTTTCTTCCCGTCAGCCCTGGTGTGGTCATCAGCCAAGTGAGGGGCTGATGGTCAGTGACCAGTGTGAACTCGCGGCCCTGCAGGTACACCCTGAAATGCCCCACCGCCCACACGGCCGCCAGCCCCTCCCCTATGTATGAGCTATACTGCGCCTCTGCGGGGTTGCAGCTCCTGCTGGCGTAGGCTACCACTTTTTCCACTCCCTCCACTTCCTGGCACAGGATTGCCCCCATCCCCTGGCTGCTCCAATCGGTGTAGAGGACGAAGGGCTGGTCTGCTGCTGGCAGCCGCAGCACGGTTGCTGTCTTCACGGCTGTCATGAGGTCTTGCAGTGCTTCCCTCTGCTGTTCTCCCCACTCCCATACCTTGTCCTCTCGCAGCATCCCGTTCAGCACTGCCGCCCGCTTACTGAAGTTAGGCACGAAGCGCCTGTAGTAGCTGAGGAAGCCCAAGACTGCGCGCAGCCCTGTCTTGTCCCTGGGTTCCCTCAGCCTGTCCAGCACCTGCACCTTTGCTTGCTGAATCCCGATCTGTCCTCCTGAACTTCATACCCCAGGTACTGCACTGTCCGCTCCCCCCACCTGCACTTGTTGGGATGACAGGTGAGCCCTGCCTCCTCTATTGCACTCAGGGTCCGCTCCACGTCCTCAAGGTGCTGCTGCTCTGTCTGGCTGAAGATGACCACATCATCAATGTAGCATGCTGCATGTTCAATCCCCCGCAGCACCGCATCCATAACTCTCTGAAACACTGCCGAGGCATTCCGCAGGCCGAAGGGCATGTATAACCACTCATACAGCCCGTCCGCGGAAGTGGACACCAGTTAGGTGCCATTGCTTTAATACGTGGCAGCAACTTGGGTTCAACACCTGTAAAATGTCAGTAGTACTTTGTAAAAAATGCTTGTATAAAAATCACGGTGGTAACCGGTTTCGGCTAAAATGCCTTCTTCAGACCACAAGCGATCTACTGAACGCGTACTACTTTATATGCCTAGAAAATGTCATCCTAGACTCAGGCCCGCGCGGGAAATCTTCGCTGCGGCGAGTACGGGAACAACAGGCAAAAGCGAGATGAGAGAAAAAGTGTAACAGCAACAAAACTACTGTAGTCTAACACTTATTAGCAGAAATCAAATAACTGCCAACTCTCTTAGGTAATCTCCATGCGATTATAGCTCTCCTTGATGAAAAAATGTCGTGTGCCATAG